AAAACATCGACACAGCACAGAATAACGCGATGTAATCACTATACCGAACGATTTATTTCAAAAGACACAATTTCACAATTTCATCACTCTTTTTAATAAACACAGTTGTAGAGTTAAAAACAGGCCTTTTTCTACAGCTACAAAACAAAATTGGCCTTGTTTTACTTCGTTCCATAAATCAATGAGGTAGCTACTACTACTAGGATATGTAATCGATTTCATTTCCGTATCTGATATCACAATGACTTCATTGTGTTGTTATATCGATGTTATATTATTTCACAAAATCTCATCTTCCATGATATGTCAAATTTCGAGCAATGACAGCTCTGTCTAATAGATGAGCATTACTTAAAAGAAAATCAGATGGCTACAAGATAAATACATGAAAAATTTCACTGTTATCTGTTACAACCGTAGAAAAAGTATAGTATAATATATAATATAACTCGCACGGAATACTAATTCTGTGCTCGTTTAACAAGGGTTTTTCACGATGAGCGTTAATTAGAATTTCTGGCAAACCAAGCAACAAATTATAAAAAATGTTATGGTCAGTATAAATTGACATATTCTACACGTCTAAAATATTTAACACGATGTGGCGTTGCCGCTTCTACTAGAGAGTATCAGCAACTTTGGTTTTTCAATTTGAATTCATGCATATTGATATTTTCCTGAAGAGCTGATTTCATCAATGAATCACACTTGGGGTGTTGTGAAAATGATTACAGAGATATAGAGTGTTCAAAATCGAGAATTTTCATCTAGGATTTTTTGTGTCGAAATTATTAATTAACGATCAAAACGGCTTTCATGTCTCTATTTTAACTACTAAATGTTGTACACGGTATATTTCTGTAATCATTTCCGCTAGCCCGCATTTGTGGTACATCGATGAAATCCAGGAAGAGTCTAAAAATGCAATGGAATACAGGGTATTTCATTTGGAAAGTCATAGTGTTGCTATTTTCTATCAGAAGTGGCAACGCCGCATTGTTTAAAAGATGTTGTAGTCGTGTAGATCATGCCAATATATACATACCAAAAAATTTTCAGATTCATATGTTGCTCGGTTTTGTCGGAAATGTCTAATTAACGGTCATTGTGAAAACCCCTGTATACTATTTCGCGATATGCACTAGATTCTTGCTTGTACGCGATGACATCTAACACAAGACTGACACTATGACTATTCATCAATTCATCACCTCGTCCCGAATGACAAATTAGTTGCGTCACCTTTTCTATCCTATCAATTCCCGAACAAGTATTTATCTATGACTAATAATAATAATTATTATATCTTAGTATACGGGGAGATAGGATGTACATGGAGTATATGGGACATACAGGGTCATCTGAGACGATCATCTCAACTTAAATATTGCGAACTTTTGGTCAACTTTCTAATATCTGATGAAATCCAGTTTTTTCCTCAACTCATAACTTTGAATTTTAATTGAAGAATACACAAATCACATATAAAACACAAAATTGCTATTATTTCACAAAATCTCATCTTCCATGAAATGACAGATCTGTCTAATAGATCTGCATTACTTAAGAGAAAATCATCAGATGGCTACAAGCCGAAGAAATAAAAAAGTTCGCTGTTATCTGTGACAGCCGTGGAAAAAGTATACTGTATAACTCGCACGGAATGCTGATTCCTAATTAAAATAACTATCATTCTGTGCTCGTTAAACAATACAGGGTGATTCACGATGAGCGTAAATCAGATATGGTTCTGTCAAACCAAGCAACAGATGAATCTGAAAATTTGATGGTTAGTATAACTTGGCATGATATACACGTCTAAAATATTTTAAACTATGCGGCGTAAACCTGCTCTACAAATTCTTACTGGTTCAATATTTCATAGCCCATGCCTCAGATCAACAAAACATGCAGTTTTCAGGAACGTGTATGTTCTGCTACGAGGGGGATGCATAAAGATGTAATAAGAACTGAATAATTATTATACTTTTACTGAAACAGAATTGTTTAATGAAGTTGAGTAGTGTTCTTTTCCTATTTCAAATATTTTGGTAGGTATATCAAGTAGCTTATAGAAGTCTAGTTGTCAAACAAACCATGAACGAACTACAGCTAAATTCCCCTTGCCTGTCAAAGAAATTTTGTGAACTCACCCAAACTAGCTCACCACAGCAAACCGTTTCTTGCTGTGAGCTCCCTACGTTTTATAAAAAATTATTGACATCCCCGATTTTTCGGACCTCTGAAAACGAGGCGATGATGTGACGTCAAAACCCTAATACTGAAACAACATCATTCCAGGCAGAGGTGAATGATACATGATTTCTGACAGAGTGAATTAGCGCGAGATCACAGTTGAAAGAATTAATACAGGCTGATTCACGGTGGATGGCACATTAGATGTTTCTGGTGAACCAGACAACGGATCATTTTGAAAATTCATTGGAGGGCATATTCGGACATTCTCTAGAAAACTAAAATATTTTCGACAATGTGGTGTTGCCGCTTCTATTAGAAAGCAGTAGCAACTTTGATTTTTCAAATAGAACACTCTGAATTTTATTGCATTCTTAGATTCTCCCTGAAGAGCAGATTTCATCGATGTATCACACTTGGGGTCTAGCGGAAATGATTACAGAGATATAGGGTGTGAAAAATCGACATTTTTCAACTTTAGGAGTTTTTTATGTCGAAACTATCCATTATTGGTCAAAACGGCTCACATGTCCCTATCTCAACTTTTGATTAACTATCTACTAACATTTAACTGAAACAAATACAGGGTGGTGCAGAAATCAGAATCTTGATCACCCGGTATGTGTCCCAATTAAATATCAGTAGATGGTTAATCAAAAGTTGAGATAGGGACATGTAAGCCGTTTTGACCAATGATGAATAGTTTCGACACAAAAAAATCCTAAAGTTGAAAAATGTCGATTTTTCACACCCTATATCTCTGTAATCATTTCCGCTAGACCCCAAGTGTGATACATCGATGGAATCAGCTCTTCAGGGAGAATCTAAAAATGCAATAAAATACAGAGTGTTTCATTTGAAAAATCAAAGTTGCTACTGCTTTCTAATAGAAGCGGCAACACCGCATTGTCGAAAATATTTCAGTTGGCTAGAGAATGTCCGAATATGCCCTTCATTGAATTTTCAAAATGATCCGTTGTCTGGTTCACCAGAAACGTCTAATGTGCCATCCACCGTGAATCAGCCTGTATATCAGTTGCCTCAGTCTCCGTCGGGCGTTTGGTATTTTCTTTTAACTATGGCGATTTGAGGTTTCTACGTCATAAGAGGGTCCGTTTTCAGAAGGCACTATTTTTATGTCCAAAAATAAAACATTCCAGTTAATTTTTCGATCGAATTATGTCGTCAATCATTATTTATGTATAAAAGGATCATTATAAACATGGTTTGAGTTAAAAGTTCTACTGAGGTGTACACGCCCATTCAAAGAGTAACAGTAATTTTGATATGGAAGTATGTAACTACACCCCGTTTTTAGGTCTTTCCTGATTTTAGTATTATTCTCACCGATGTCAACTCTAATTAGCACCTGATGATAGCTCGCAGATAATTTTTGATATTTTTATAATAGGTTATTGATTATTCATAAATTCCAAACATTCCTTCATAACTTCCATAATTGTTTCAGCCTGTAGTGAATTTTACATTTTTAAGTATAAGTACATATGGTTTACAAGTTGGTCGAATGTTTTGTTAATGGTTGCACTACATATTGGCAGTTTTTCATTATTTATCTAGGATCCTAGGAATGTTCTCATTATCGTTAGTTACCTATATAAATACATATATATTGGAAACATATGATAATTCTTACTAAAGGAAATACGAACGTGATTTCTCAGTTTAGTTGTGAACACAAATGTTTCACCTCCTATGCTTAGATTCATTTCGGCCATACAAAAACTTATTGAGGCACTAACAAATGGGTCTGATCCTGATCTGAACTCCAGCAGTAGGTATGAGGTATGCTAAAGCAGATGCTACCTTGTATCTATAATAATTGTGGAATGAGAATATTATTGTTATACAGTGCGTTCATAAAGTGTGGAAACGCTCCATTATCTTACGATATAATTATTTTCAGAGGTAAAGCTCGGACAGGTCGATTTTGTATTTCAGTCTTCCATCTTTTTTTACAAAAAAATAATTTTTTCCCCCACCACCTTACAAGATATGACGTCATCGATATTTTTTTTAAATTGAAAGGGTATATTTTTATATCAAAAATTGAAAGCCCATATTTTTCTGAGTTCAACGATACCACATACGTCATATCTTACACTTCAAGTTACAGTATACTGAGTATAAAAGAAACCAGTAGTGTTCATATTTCTCAACATTCATTTAATTATTTATTTGCAATGAAAATATCATAAGAAGTAGTGAAAATAAACAAATAACAAATCTACTACTCTACTGAGTAATTCTCAGGTTTCCATTGCAAAATAAATAATTAAATGAATGTTGAGAAATATGAACACTGGTTTCTTTTATACTCAGTATACTGTAACTTGAAGTGTAAGATATGACGTATGTGGTATGGTTGAACTGAAAAATATGGGCTTTCAATTTTTGATATAAAAATATACCCTTTCAATTTAAAAAAAATATCGATGACGTCATATCTTGTAAGGTGGTGGGGGAAAAAATTATTTTTTTGTAAAAAAAGATGGAAGACTGAAATACAAAATCGACCTGTCCGAGCTTCACCTCTGAAAATAATTATATCGTAAGATAATGGAGCGTTTCCACACTTTATGAACGCACTGTATATTAGACATTGATGACAAATAATATGTTGGAATTAATGAAATTGTCAAGACAATCTTTCTCATTTTGATTTGCTAATTTGCTATGAATAAATTGATAATATATATTCATTTCTCAGAACATTTAACTTTAGGACCATACCATCTAACGAACCTATTTATTATATAGTTCAATGTTGTTTTGTTTTTTTTCAGATTACTCGCCCATTGAACCATGGTGGATTTAGGCGGCTATGTAATAATTCTGGTAGAAACCAAAGACAAAAAAATCAAACTTTATGGTAAGTTTTTAGTTGAGTACATACAATTCAGAAAGATAATATCACGAAAATGCGATATGTACGAAACGAAGCCCTGGAAGGGACACATAAAATAAAAAAATAAAACTCTTCTAAATTCTGAGTTGTAACTCGGAATTTTTAAATTACGACTTATATCTCGGAATTTTACATTCAAAGTTCCGAGTTACAACTCAGAATTTTGAAATTCCGAGTTATAACTCGGAATTTTATATTCAATATTCCGAGTTATAACTCAGAGTTTCAAAATTCCGAGATATAAGTCGGAATTTTGATGCAAAATGAACGAAAACCCTGATTCGATTCAGGTAGGTATTTATACAGGGTGTATCTAAATAATACCGAAAAAATTCAAGGGGTGTTTCGTTGCAAATAAAGTTCATATAAACATATTATGTCATATCTTGCTATACGTTCTTAGTCTGATGAGAAATTGTGAGCACTGAGACTGTGAGACTCTAATTTACAGTTGCAACTGTAAATTAGGAGATGTGTAGGAAAAAAGTTCTCTTGTTCTAATTTACAGTTGCAACTGTAAATTAGGCAGAAGAAAATTTTTTTTTTTCAAAATATCTCCTAATTTACAGTTGCAACTGTAAATTAGGAGGTTTTTCGAAAAAAATAAGTTTTCTCTCCCTAATTCACAGTTGCAACTGTAAATTAGGCGATATTTAGAAAAAAAAAAGTTTTTCAAGAATGGCAGTTCAGACGCGTCGTAGTATAAGTATAATATATGTTTCCTTTTCTTTTTTTGTAAGCTTGAAAATAGAATTGAAAAATTGATGTTCAAGTTAATATTGTCACAAAAAAAGAAAGAGGAATGATGATGATCTTCCAAGAAGATATTGTTGCAGCTGAGATTCCTGATGCATCATTTTAAGGCGTAGGTATGCCCTTGGAAAATTCAAAAATTTCGCTTGCGGTGCATTTTATTGTTGAACCATCTTCTATATATGCCTGGTTTTACTTTAGAAACGAAATATTTGCTTTCCTATAAAGGAATGCTACTTCCAATTCTAATGAAAAAATATACCCACAGCACAGCATTTAGGTAAGATGTGCCTACAGGATATCCATTCTACCATTCATGACTTTACTTTTGTAATACTTGACCAAATGCGCCTATTTGAAAATTTTAAAGATTTGGTTCTTCAGAGTAAGATAAGCTATTTCGAAGTATTTGGTTTTACATGGGATGGGACACGACCCACTGTATCATTTCGTGAAAAACTCTCTTTGAACTTTGGTCAAGAATCATCTGTCTATCTGGACAGTCAAGTATAGAAGTTGATAAACGTAAATAAGGCGGAATTTTCATTTAATTTCACAGGATCGCCAGCAGATAAAGATAACCTAGAAGTTGGAGACGAAATTTTGGAGGTTAATGGAAAAACTTTGGAGGATGCAACTCATACGGAAGTTATCAGTCATATCCATCAGGTGAGTTTCAGTTAGTTGAATGATAAAACAGTTCACAATATCCTGGAATATTCGAAACTATGAATCCTGTGTATACTCATTATATAGGTACTCAAAAACTATGTAAGACTTTGAACTTATACACCGTGTCCAAGATAAGGATGTTTATCATGAGAGGTTCTATCAAAAACCATAAGAGTGCGAAGATGGTTTTCAATGCCTAACAATATATGTCGTTTAGGAAGTTTAAAAAATCTGAGTAGGTAGTTCCATGCCGATTTCGTTTTTATTTTTTTCTGACCTCATTTAGCGATATAGGAATACAAAAGACACTTTCTCATTGTCACTTTCTGAGTCCTACAATACAGTGTCGGGGGATTCTATAAAGGGTATACTTTTTTTCGGATCTCTCCGAAACGAAACGCCGTACAGAAAATCTCTCAAAGCTGTTTTGTAGAGCTTTAAAAGTGGAATTTGTTTTTCTATATCTATTGAAATAACTCCAGAAAAAAAGAAAAACGGAACTATTCGGAATTTTGAAATTTTCTAAACGACATTTTGTTAGGATTGAAAATGCGCAACTTCGATCATCTTCATATCTCTTATGGTTTCTGAGATCCCCATGATAGGCATCCTTATCTTGGACACATATTATAAATATGACTAGAATCCAGAATACTGATGAATATATATATATCTACCACAAAAATTTAACGGTCATGATTCAAAACAATATCTTTCCGTTTAAAATTAAAATTACTGCAATATCATTCAGACAAAAAAATATACGGGGTGTTCCTTTTAAAAGTCGAAAGTTGGTGTTGTTTCCGGTTGAACAGGAAGTGATCAAGCAAAAAGGAATGAGCAATTGATGGTATACTTTCAAACTCCGATCTAGAATGATTCAGAAGTTACAGCACTGGTCGCTTTTCGTGCAGTTCTCTGGTATAGGTACTGCATATATATTTTTGTAACAACACAGGTTCTATTGAAAAAAAGTTGATTTGTAGGTTGTTACTCTTCAAGGGATATCACTCTGATAATAGCCGTTTACTTTTTTTTCTCCTAGTAAATGTATAGGTCTGTACAACATTTTTAGTGTCACATATTGTGAATCCTTGAAAAAGCTCTTCGATATTACTGTGATGTTAAGTATGTATTATTTTGTTTTTTGCAGTGTATAAGATCTAGAACAATATGCCTTCGCGTGAAAAGAAGAAGTGGAGCTCGATTAGGTGAGTGATTTTGTTCAATGTACAATAAAATTTGATCTTTTCTGATTCTTTGTATGTACAATTATGTCCCCAAGCTACGGAATTGAGACAAGAATGGCATCATTGGCATCACGAGTATGCCGTGACTTGAACTTGAATGGCGTGCAAATGCAAATTACCAATATGGTTGATTTTTAGTTATTGTTTTTCTCTTAGACTTTAGATGTAGACGATATCCCGGAAGAGTTGATATAGTAGGTAAATCGAATCATTGATGAGGAACATATTCATTTAACTATATTTTGATTAATATCCAAAGTGATTCAAACAATACGTGATCTTAAAAAAAGATTTGCACATAAATGAAGGCATAGATTAGATGATGAGGGTAACGCAGGTCTAAATGTCGCTATAAGTATAACAGCCTCAGTTAAAAACTCCAGATTTCACATCGATTATTTTTTTCACGTGTCAAAATCTGACGTTGTTTCAACCAATAGCAATTCGTTATTCTATAGCCAATAATTCGTTATTATACTGATAACACTGCATGTGGCCTTCGATAATTTACATTGAACTGTCAAAACAAAACTATAAATAAATATTGAAATTTATAACATTCCTAGGTTATAGTTCAAAACTAGTTAGAGCCACTTGCGTTAATTCTCTTCTTATATTATATTATATTATATTATATTATATTATATTATATTATATTATATTATATTATATTATATTATATTATATTATATTATATTATATTATATTATATTATATTATATTATATTATATTATATTATATTATATTATATTATATTATATTATATTATATTATATTATATTATATTATATTATATTATATTATATTATATTATATTATACACATCATCTTCAGAACCATACGATCATTCATAATAGAAGTGTGTAGAATTGCTTTGAATCGTGAAATGTATATTTTTCTCAAATTGGTGAAAAAATTAATCTTCCTAGATCCAACTCTTCCCTGAAATTTCATCCGATATAATATTTCATTTTCATTTCATTTTAGGCAAAATCATTCAATTAAACCAAATTTGATAAAACAACTCGTCTTACGGACTTTGATTTTATCAATTGGTTTGTTTTCATATTTTTGCCCAATAAAAAAGTTTCCGTAGAAAAAAAAATATCGATGATATTTGAAGGACTGGTGGTATTATACCTTTTCATCCTGCATGCCCTAGAAAAAATAGTGTTTTATTCAAGGAAAAAATCTTAGAATCCAATACACTTTCCTCTTGTATAATAGATATCTATTAAAAATAATGACACAACGCCATTGATGAACAAAAGGAAATATCAAATCGCTTATCGCTTATGATAATGATCATCATCGTTGTGATTGGACATTACTATGACAACTTGAAAAAGATGGTTTCGAGAAAATTGAGTTTTAATGTTTATAATAATTGTTCCTGATGACTATTTATAATTGAACTGATACTACTATTTGACTTGTATTATACAGAGGGTGTTATTCAAGTATGTGAAACAAACTTATTCAAGAGACGAAAAGTTGACAAAAACATAAGTCCAGAAAGTCAAACTTTTTAGAAATCGTTTTCTCGTGAATGTCGTAAAACTCCTTCATCCGATTTTGTTGACATTATTCAGTGTCATTCAAAGTAATGAGGAGCTGATTTTGCCATATCAGATTTACGAAAAACCGATTATTTCAAAAGTAGTTTGACACCCTATGTCTTGAAAAATATATGCATTTTCAGGCCTATCCATCAATGGCCGACATCTGTTTATAGTAAATATGGCGCAAAATATAGGTACTCAAAACAAATTTTCTTTCTCTAATGCTTGATTAAAACCTTTAGGTAATGATAAGACATTTTATGTGATGATTTCTTCCTGTTGAAGTACTTATTATTGCATATTCGCATCCATTCTTATTACAAAGCTTCTAAAATGATAAGATTGATTTAAGAAGGTTATAAGATGATGCCTTCAAGTGCTCATTGGCAGTGTTGTAAAAAGTAGAAGAACGTCATCAACATGATTAACATAACCCTACTTTTGTTATTTACAGTGTTCACTTTGTGAATTTTGTGATTGGTTTTAAGTAGGAAACCGACTAGGAAACATAAACATAAACAAACCACACTCAGTGCAGTTTGCCTGATATTGTGTTGAATGCTCCATTCTCTCAAATTCATGCTGAACTCGCCATCTTTTTTTTTTATCGCTTCCTAGTTCCCATTCAGACAGAAGCACGATGATCAGAAGTATTTTCCATTACGTTCTGACTCGATGGTACTTCATGAACATCAGGTCCTAATGAATTCTTGCTATTTGGTGGTTTCCAGGTGGGATGAATTGAAAGACGCAGTTTTTGGAATTGCTTAGGCTTGAGAATTCTGATTTACTGTTGCTCTCACGACTTGATTTTGGATTCTTAAGTAATTTTCTTAATTTTTTCGCTTGAAGTTGCCATTTCTCTTAATTTCACACTATATATTTTCTTGTGAGTTCATTCCAACGTGAGTCGTTCGTAGGCAAAAAAATATGAACATTTATATTATGGGATTTGGGTTTAACCCGGTTCTAAATAAAACTCCATAAATCCTATAGATTTTATGATTGACTTCGATGAATTCATTGTGGCTTATAGGTTTTGATAATTACTTTCACATAGCTAGAATAATGCCACTAGGACTAGGTTTCATTATTGTCTCAGTCAAATCCTAATTGGCCTAGCGTAAATCTGGTTTTATGATTGCTTTATGACGTATTTTCTTAGGATTAGCTCAAAACCTCTTGGTCAAATTCGAGACATCAATGAAACTTAAGTGTTTGAAGAGGGTTGTTAAGAGTAAATAGTTTTGATAAAGAATTTCAATGACCCTCACAGAGCTCTCTTAATTAAAACCGAAGTGAGCTGAATGCCAAATTGTTTTATGCGATAGTTCTATCATAGTATCTCAAAGCCTTTTAATAGGATTATATGGACATGAAGGCTTTTTCCAGGGCATTCATAAAACGGTAGAACAAATTAGACCTATCATTTGGGCTCACAGAAGCTTTTAGGCATTTAAAAAAGTACCTACTGGAAATTCATGAACAGGAGATGTTAAAATATGTTGAAATATATATAGTTTGAAATCAATTTATGAATTATATTTCTATATTATCATTCATTGGTCGTAGAAAAAATAGTGGATATAACTATGGATCGATCATTACTGGGCGTTGCATAAGATACTATATAGGCTGATTGAAATGGCCAATATACATTTTCGCTAATCTTACTTCTTTTGTGTGATTCAAAAGATAAAAACAATGCTAATTTCAAATCTCCACTTATATATACGGAGAAGTAGATTTATCACATTTGGAGACAAATCAGGTTGACCTAGATTTTTTCGTCTCCTGGATCGTATAGATAAATTAAATTCACCACTTCCTTAGATATTATCATTCAACCGAAAGGAACTGTCTATAGATGTGGAAACAAATCAGTTTGATGTTTTTCCATCACGTGGATTCGATCAAATCTGATGAGGAATATATAGAGGAATGAATATAGGCAATCACAAACATACCTACTCAATGATTGACACATTGACGATCAATGTAATACCAATGAACATTCCCAATCCGACCACACGTGAAATCCGAACTGAATTGGCAATATCCACCCACTTTCTTGTACCAGTTCATACAGGATGATTCGCGATAGAATGAAAACATACCTACTACTGGATTCATCCCGAAAACAACCTCCAAACATAACACCAATTGACAGTCATATGCCTGAGA